CTTTATTCAGCTTAAGATGAATACAGCTCATGCTCAAATCCTAATGATAGCCTCAAAACCTACTTACAAAGTGAAAATTTCAACATTTGCTCAACGGCCAAGGTCTTTTTTAGGTGATGACATCACCAAAAAGGGGGATAATCTTTGCGGAAGCCCCGGTTTAAATCTCTTATCAATTTTGCCCTCTATTCTTATACATACATTTACCCTTTCTTCAGACTTGCCTTCTGGTCAGGGTCTGCGGATCAGTGCCCTCCGGTTCGCTTTGCCAGGCGACGAATCTTCGCCTGCGATAGAAGGTGTTCAGCAAGGATTCGTCGAGAATCATACTCGTAAACCGGACTCATCACGCCGGCCTGATAGTCATGTAACTGCCCAGCCAAGGTCCGTCGAGGTGATTCGCATGGTTCCGGTAATACGTCATCTGGCGATTAACGGAATCTGCTTCTACGAGGAGGAGGAGGAGGTGGGGAGGTTTAAAAGGAGGAGTGTAGGACGACCAGATGAAGAAAGTTCTGACGTTTTGTATCACCCCTCCAAGCGTTGTAAGGTTTGTAAATTCAATGAGACCAATCGGCCACCGCCAAATTCCTCTTCCAGACGAGCATTTGCTTCAATCCCTACTCTCGATCTTTCCACTCGTCGCTCTCGAGATGTCACTGCCAGTTCATTAAGTTTGTCACTCCAGCCCAACCATTCTCTACCTTTGAGAGTCCACTTTTCTGTTGACGCAAAATCAAGTAATAAGACGTTCCAACTGGCAAGACCAAATCATGGCCTTCGATTGGGTCGAATTCGGGCGCCAAGAGCGATTTCAACAGATGCGCCCCGAGACTTGTTTGAACTTATCCTTGCAGCGGCTGTTACGCTGACACGTGCCGATTGTGGCCTCAATCTTCACACGACCTTTCATCTCTACGGTCGATTTCGCATAGGACTCGCCTTCAAACCCATCTTCACAAGTCCTTCCATCACATGGCCGGAGACTGGTAGACGTGACCATAGCCTGAACCCAGGTCTAGTCCAGACTCGTGCGAATGGTCTCCTATTGGCGGTTCGTGGCCGAGCCGATTATCTGGCCCTTGAGCTGGTTGACGGCAGGGTCCGACTTGCCTTCGACATGGGAAAAGGGGCCCAAGAGGCCTGGCTACCTGATGCCCCGTTTAGGCCGAATGCCGGAGAACTTAAAGAACGACACAAAGGGGCAGCAGTCAAGGAAGAGTCTGAGGATAGCTCGGAAAACAATAAAAGAGAATCAAAGAAAATAAGGTTGGCAATTCAAAACCGGCCACAAGGGATGTCAGAGACGATTGACAGAAATCGGGCTAAAGTGAACGA